GCGTCTCCTGGTTGGAAGTAAAGAGCACAGACCCTGGAACCAGCATTCTGGGCCCTGAGCCCTGGCTGTGTTTTTTGGTCGCTCTTCCAGTCTCCTCTGCATCTGTCCAACGGGGACGCGATGGCAGCTTCCTCCCTGGATGAGTGTTAGGGCTGAACTTGGCAGCTCTTGGAGAGGTCTTTGGAGCTCCATTTGTGTGGGGTCCCGTCCGTGTCCCCTAGGTGTCCTGTGCTGGGGTCCCATCTAGGGGATTGCACCTTGGCCTGGATGTGCCCCTGGAATCAGCCCAGGGCGACCCCACCATGGGCCTAGACCCCAGTATGGCCAGAAACAGGGTGCAGGCAGGGCTGGCTGGACCCAGGCTCCTTAAACAAGGGGCCGTGCTGTCCTGGGGAGACAGACACCCCAAGCTGGCAGGCCCTGCTTTTATCATTTGCTGTCCATGAGAATCCATGCTCCAGCCTGTTGTGAGGGAACCCAGAATCTACGCTTCAGGGGGAAACCGTTTAATCATCGGCCAAGAGGAGGTCATTTATATTGGCTAAGCGGGCTTAATTGGGCTGGTTCGGGAGGTTACCATCCGCACACAGAGAAGCTGTTAAGGGGTTAACCTCTGAGAGATTACATTGTATTCAGCGCTCTGTTAAAGTTTGAATTAATTTTTCCCATGGGTTTGTTCACATTCTAATTTTCAACTAAATGAGACATCTGTTTCAGAAAAGGAAAATTTGCTCTGGTTGTCATGGCAACTATCATTCTGTAAGAAAATTATTCCAATGGTTACTTTAGAACAGAAAGACAGAAATTCAGGACATAAAGCCGCCTCCCGTCACTCAGTTGGAATTCTGATCCAGGCTTCCTCCTCGAGGCCATGAGGTGCCCAGGATGGGCCATGAGGAGGCCCAGGTGCCCAGGTGTGTGGAGGGAGGGTGGATGGTTGGCAGGGTGCCCTGCAGTGCAGTGGAAACTGGTCCCGGGCCCTTGGGGATCTGGTTTGGAGGCTCACAGGTTTATACTTCTCAGACCAGCGGTGGGTGGTAGCTTGGGTGACAGGCCCTTGGGAGCCCCTGTGTCCTGTCCAGTGACTGATCCCAGACACCAGGCCTCATAGCACACAGAGGGGACATTTTATCATCCAATAGCAGCTGAAAGGACATAGCCTCGATGTCATCCTGGTCTTCTGGCCTGACTCGGGGTCACGGCTGTGTTGTGAGCACCATGCAGGACTGAGGTTGTCCAGGCCCCAGGGGCTGCTCACAAGATTGGGGAATGAGGTGGCCCTGGAGAGCCAGGTAAGACCCCTGCCCGCAGGCCACCACCTGCCCCTGCTCACCGTCCTGAAAGCTCCGACCTGGGGCCAGCTCAGAGTTGTCTTCTGGAAGCTCCACTGCCTCTTCCTGCTACCCTGATGCTAATGGAAGCTCAACATGGCTTGCAGCGAGAGGCTCAAAGCATGGTCATAGAGGGGTCCAGTCTCAGGTCTGGCAGTAGGGTACAGCAGCCAGCAAGCCAGGCCTTCCCTGCCCTGAAGGGTAAGACCTGAAGACACTGGCCTCTTCATCCCATTTGACAAAGGGAAACTGAGGCTGGGAGGCACAGGACCAGCCATCTGATGCCAGCTTCGGTGGCCTCTCTACCCATCAGGTAGGGGACAAGGCAGTCCTGAGCCTTCCAGGACCTATGGGATTGCTGACAGCTTCCCCCACACCTGGCAGGACCTGCAGATGAGGTGACCAGCTCGCCTGTACCCTTATGTTCTCCGGGCCCCGAGGATGGGTGGGGTGGACAGGGGCCATGTGGGGAGGGAAAGGTGGGAGAGAGAGGGACCAGTTCTGGACCAGCTGCTCCATGGAGGCCTGTTTCTCCATCCACTCTGTATAATCCTGGGAAGTAGAACGACCTCTCTGGGTGTCCCCAGAGGTGGGTGGAGTCCAGCTTCCCAGGATTCCAGATGCTGAGTTTCCAAGAGGCAGGCAGGAAATTGTCACCCCAGCGCATGTCTCCTTGGTGCTGGGTGAGGTGAAAGCAGAGCGGTCGGGGGCTCCCCAGGGTCGGCTGCTGGTGGGGTGGGGCCTCTGATGCATTTCTGAGTCTCCAAAAGCCATCCCCAGCAGAGCCTTGAGAGAATGAACAGCTGCCTTCTCTCCACACTGCCGAGGCTCGTCCCGTCTGGTAAATATTTGATTAGAATTTTGAAAAATGGAGTCTGTGTTTTCAGTCTTTGCCAGAAAGACGCCCTCCCTTTTCCTGTTGGCTGGCAGGGCCAGGGCTTCTGGGACGACCCCGAGTGGCTTCAGGCTGCCGCCACTTTTCTGGGGCAGCTCCTGCCCCACTCTGCATGTCTGTGAAAGCAGAAATATACCTAATGGAGAAGTTTGCGTTTCCTACTCTGTTGTACTCTGACGTTTTCTGAACATTTGTACCTTAAAAAGTGTAGCCAGCCATCAAAATGCAGTTGGAAAACGCTGCCCTGAACCAGAGCTTTCTCAGCCAAGCTCTCGGGGCGGGGGGGGCCCAAGTGCTTGCGGGTGGGGTTTGGGGGACAGTGGCGAGTGTGCTCTGCCTGCCCGTAGTAAGTTCTCCGGGGGACCCGGGGTCTATGGGGTCCATGTGGGTGTTGAGTGTGGGCAGCTGCTGCAGGGTCCCGTGGCCCGGCCAGTGTCTGTCCCCTCACCAGGCCACCCATCAGCCCAGGGCCCTCTCCCCTCCGCTCCTTCAGTGTGTGTCTGCCCCTCCCCGGGCTGGCGTCTAAGACTGCGGAAGGACTTCTGACCCTGAGCAATGGCCAGTGTGCTCACCTGTCCTCCTCTACAAGCCCAGGTCCCCAGAGATGAACTACAGGCTTAAAGGGAGGGGTAGAGAGCATCTGGACTGGGTTTGAAAAACGATGTTTCCGCTAACCCTTTCTGTCACCCTGGGTACCTCTTCTCCCCTCTCGGAACTGCCACCTTCCTTTCTAGGACCTGCCAGGATGGGGTTACGTCTTGGTTCTCAAATGGTGTTCCATGGAACCCCTGGGGGGTCCCACACCGGTGCACTGGGTGGTAGGGCCATTTGGGTTAACAGCTAGGGACGTGGGGCATGGGACATGGGACTTAGGTGGCAGCTCTGGGCATAAGGGGCCATAAGGGCAAAGCCTGGGCATACCTCCCAACTCACACAGTATATACAGACAGGCAAGCAGTCACGAGGTGGCAAAATCCCAGCACCGTCTTCTCTCTGAGAGCCTCAGGCTCCTCATGTGGAAAACTCCATCCCTTAATTCCTAGGGTACTTGTGACAGTGGGGTGAACCTACTCCTTCATGTCTTAGGACAGGGCCTGGCACAAAAGGAGCTGTGTGGAACGTGTTGGAGACAGTTTTTGTTTTCTGATCCTCGGTCCTCAGTTTCCTCATCCACAAAACAGAAGTCTGGCCTGCTTTGCCACAGGGGTGGAGGTCCTGGGGCAGCAGTGACAGTGATGGTGATTGTCTCAGTGTGCAGGTCTGGGTAACAACCATCACCACCAGTGGAAATGTGTTCTTCCATGGTCCTGCAGGCCAGAAGTCTGAAGGAGAATCTCTCCTGGCCTCTCCTGGCTTCTGGGGGCTGCCTGCAATCCTCCTTGGCATTCCTTGGCTTCTAGAAGCTTCACTCCAGTCTCTCCATCCTTCCCTGCATTGTCACATGATGTACCTCTTCACCTGTGTCCCTTTTTCCATGTGGTCTGCTTAGAAGGACACTGGCCATTGGATTTAGGGCTCACTCTAACCAGTGTGACCTACTTACTCCTAGCTTGCTGCATCTGCAAAGGCCCTGTTTCTAATAAGGTCACGTTCACAGTACCAGGGTTTAGCAAAGTATCTTTCTGGGGGGCACAATTGGACCCACAGTAGTGGTGGTGGTAATGGTAGCAGTGGGGATGGCGGTGGTGATGGTGATGATGGTTTTTGTAATCTGTTTTGGCGACTGTAAGAAAATACCTTTGACAGAGTGGCTTATAAATGGTAGAAACTTGGTTCTCACTCATCTGGAGGCTGGAAGTCCAGGATCCAAGCGATGGCAGATCCAGGGTCTTGGTTTGTAGACAGTATCTTCTCACTGCCCCCAGGAGGAAGGGCTTAGGGGTCTCTCTCTGGCCTCTTCCTCAGGGTCACTGACCTTATCCACTGATCCTCCCTCATGATCCATCACCTCCCAGGGCCTCACCTCCTTCCATTGTTACTCTGTTGGTTTGGGTCTCAACATGTGAATCCTGGAGCAACACGAACATTCAGACCATAGTAGTGATGGCCGTGGTGGTGGCGGTGACAGGGTACTGGTGGTGATGGTGGGGTCGGGATTGGCTGTGGTAATGATGTGGATGGTGATGGAGGTCATGGAGGTGGTGATGCTGATGGTGGTGACTCTGAACCCTAAAAGGCTCCATTCATGTGGGGTCAAAATCATTTAACCCTCAGGGCTGCTTCTCATGCCCCCACCAGGATGCTTTTGTTGCAAGTGAGTGAAAACCTTATTCAAATGGCTTGCTTTACTCCGTTCTTTCCCTCCCTTCCTCCCTTTCTGCTTTCCTTCCTTTCTTTCTTTTCCTCTCTTTCCCTTCCTCCCCTCTTCCTCCTCCTCATCCTTCCTCTTCCTGTCTTCTTTTCCTCTCTCCCTTCCTTCCTCCTTCCTTTTTTTCTTTCTTTCTTTCTTCCTTCCTTCCTTTCCTCCCTCCCTCCCTCCCTCCCTCCCTCCCTCCCTCTCTTCCTTCCTGCTAGAGGTTGAATCCAGGGCCTCACACCTGCTAGGCAAGTGCTGTACCACTGAGCTCTGCCCCAGCCCCTCTGATGGCTTTATACTGGCCCATAGAACTGAGAAGTGCCAAGGTATGATGGGCATCTGGTGTGGTTTGGTCCAGGTGTCTCCCTCTGGGACAGCTTAGTACCTGAGACAGCTCCCAACTGGTTTATACACAGGGATGATGGTGTCTTCTTTTCTGATCATGACTCTCATTAACACACACACACCTCCTTCCTAGGCAGCCCTGGTTTTATGGATGGGGCTTCAACCTGCCGAGAGGCCAGGCCCTGCTGGAGAAATGGAACCTCATTCCCGAGGGTGTGGATGTCCTGATCACTCACGGGCCACCACTGGGTAAGACCTGCTGCCCGCCAGAGCCCTGCTCCCCTGGCCAGGTGGGGCTTTAGGGCCAGGGTCTGGCTGGGGTGGCGAACAGTGGTCATCTGGCTGGTTGGGCTGCTGTGAGTCTGACTTGCTGGGGGCAGGTGACCCCGGTGCCCTGGGCTCCTGGAGTGCCTGCTGTGCTGGGGCTGACTTGCCACCTCCTGGGCTGCACTCTTGGCATGGAGCTCAGCTCACCTGCCAGGTTCACATGTTGCACATTAGCTCGGGCCTTCACCTCCCAGACACGCGCCCTTGGCTCCAGACCCTCTGGGGCCTGGCCATGGGCTCCATTGGGCAGCCCTCACCCTGTCTGAAACCTGGGACCTGCTCTCTTTTTTTTTTTTTTCTGGATGAAGAGAAAAATTCATTAAATTTGCTTTTTAGACATATTAACATGTGACCTATGGCACTTGTGAAAGCCAAGAAAACAGTGGCCAAAGCAGAACACATTGAGTATAAAATGCTAATTGCTCTTCCACTGGTGGTTGCAGTTTCCTTTCCTCTGACTTTAAGTGTTTTCTCATCAGAGAGGATCTTTTAATTTCTTTTGAATGAACATCAGTGAGCTGCCCTCCCATGCTCGAGCCAACTTTTGGCCGAGTACGTGTGGGAATATGAGGCCATAATGCAAAACCAACGGAAGAGACAATCTGCTTTAGCAGCATTCCAAGTTAGCGTTCTAACAGGGAAGAATTAACAGCAGCATCATGTCCCTCTGCCGCCCCATCATCACCTGACAGCGAAACGGTAAAGATGGAATTTCACTGTGTGCGAGAGATGCCGACTACCTGTAATTCACCCGAAGTTCTGAATACTCTAGGAAGGAAAAACCCTTCACTGCCAGTTCCTAAATGTACTGCTACTTGCATGTGACCAATGCCCAATTGCTGAGATGTGAAGTCTTGGATTCTGGGACAGGTATGGGAGGGACCTGCCCTCTTACCCTAGCCACCAATGTCCTCACAGCTGTGGACTCCACTTCCTGATGTCCCCCTCTTCTCCATGGCCACCACCCTGAGCCCAAGCTGAGCCCATCACTCGCCTGCTGCTCCCGCCTGGGACCCCACATCCTGCCCATCTGCCTGTCCCTTCACTCTGCCTCTACTCTGCCTCCCAGCTCCTTCCTCCTGTCTGCCACTGCTGACCCAGCATCTTCCTTCCCTCCCTCCTGTGCCCACTGTGGCACCCTCGCTGGGCCCCCAGCAGCCCCTTCCAGTCCACTCTCTTCATACCGATAGGAGGGAGTTCTTGGGATCATCAATTATGCCATGATATCTGTCACCTTCTGTGGCTCCCTTAGTCCTTAAAATTAGGTTCAAACTCCTGGCATTCTGGCCCAGACCAGCTTTACTCACTGAGCCTGCCATTGCTCCCTCCATGCCTGGGCCTGGTCCCTGGGCTGGTGATGCTAGATCAGGTGTTAGTGCCCTGTAGCACTTGCCAGGAGGGGCCCATGCCTGCAGGGTACAGGGCTCAAGAATGGCCAAGCCCAAAAGGACAAGCTTGGGGAGCTCAGGGGAGGCCTCGAGCCTTCCAGTGGAGGCCATGTCAGTCGTGTCTGGGTGCGGGGTGGGGGGCCCCTTTGCAGGGTGACACTCGGCACAGCCTGAGTCCCTGGTGCACGAAGCCTTGAGGGAAGAGCCCTGACCTGCTGGGCCTCCACCCTTAGCAGCACCCTGGGGTGGATGCTTGCACCTCTTCACAAAGGGTCCCTCAGCCCTGTTTCAGAGGAAGCCACAGGCCTAGGGCTCTGCCAGGATTTAGGGGCTCTGTACAGCGCAGTTGTGTCTGGGATTGTGTCCCCTCCCCAGCCTCCTGAACCCCTGGCCAAATTCCTTTAGCAATAGGGTCCTGTGCTGCTTATAATGAGGCTCTGTGACAATGGTGTTGTGCTTCCTTTCTACCCCTTTTCATTCTTCCCCCCTTCCCTCCTTCCCTCCCCTCCTGTCCTTTCTTCCTTCCATATCTTTCTTTCCTCCCTCCCCCACTCTGCTCTCCTCTTTCCCCTTCTTTCTTTCTCCCTTCATTCACCTCCCCATCTACCTCCCCATCTACCCATCTACACAGCCACAAGTCCCTCCGGCCGTCACCCTTCCACCCTTTCCCCATTCACCCGCCCATCCCCACCCATCTGTCCATCCCCCCAGCCATTCACCTACTCATCCACTCATCCATCCACCCACCCATGCACCCATCTATCCACCTGCACATCATCCACCCACCCGCTTACACACCCTTTCATCCACCTGCCCACCCATTCAGTAGTCCACTCATCCGTCTACCCGTCCATTTGTCTATTCATCTGTCCACCCCTCTACCCACTGCACAGACCCCACAAGCCTGTTCCAGGGATGCCCATGTGTGCCAAGCATTCCACTGAGAGCTGAGGAGCTGCAGCCCCACCCGCACACCGAGGGATGAGGCTGCCCGGCCTTACGTATGTGGAGCCCAGTGCCTGTGTGGCAAATCTAATTGCTGGCTGGAGGGGAAGCACAGAGAGGTTAATTCACTTGTCCAAGGTCACACAACCAGTAGGCCTAGAGCCTAGGATTTGAACCTGTGTCTGCTTCAGGCCTACTCCTGCCTGTCTCCCACCTCTCTTCTCCGCCTTCCCTTCCTTCTCCTCCCGCATTTCCCGGTCCCACTGCCTCTCACTGTCTATGTCTCTCACTCATCTTTAAGTCCGTGGCTCCAGCAGTCTGATTCTTTGAGTGAAGCTCCCTCTGCCCGCTTCCCGTGATTGCAGAAACCCGGTTCGCCCACCCAAACACAGGGGGCTCAGAGGAGCCTAATTGTGTGCTTGGAGTAATCAATTGTTCTTCGTTTGTGTAGCCATGTGTGGATAATAAGCAGCCGCCATCTGGGCAGCTCCGGGAGGCTGGCAGCAGAGCAGACAGCGCGGTCACGTGACCTGAGCGTGCTGCACCGTGGGGACGCAGGCGTCCACTGTCATGGTCCCGTGTTGCTGCTAGGAGAGTTTCCGGGAAGGGGGTCTCAGTCCCAGGCTGTGGAGGCGACGCTGCAGCCGGTCACTGCAGTGCCCTTGGGCCTCGGTTTGCTCATCTCTGCAATGGGTGGCTGCTACCCTCGAGCTCCCTGGGCACTGGTGGTTGTTGAGTGCCTCGTCCCGAGTGCTGGGCAGCCCTCGCTCCTCCTGGGAATCTATCTGTGTAACCCAGCAGGAGAGGGCATGCCGGCTCCGCGCAGTTCTCGGCCCTCAGCTCCCACCCGGGGGCGGGAGGAGCCGCACCTGGACCGTGTGCTCTCTGAGGCGGCGCAGCTGCCGCGTGGGGTGTGAGGGGCTGAGTGCTGGCCCTCCCGGCCCATCACTGCCCCCTGCTGTCTTCCTGCGCAGGCTTCCTGGATTGGGTCCCCAAGAAGATGCAGCGGGTGGGCTGTGTGGAGCTGCTCAACACAGTGCAGAGGCGCGTCCAGCCGAGGCTGCACGTCTTCGGCCACATCCACGAAGGTCAGTAGGAGGAGGGGAGCGGGGGGACTTCACGGGCTGGGGACTCCTAGCTGGCACTTCAGAGGGGTGATTGCCTTCCATCAGCCCCAGCCACCCCCTTCTTCCCTGAGTTTTTCTACCGGAAGGGGAAGAGCCCAATTCTGCTGTTCGCCTTGTGACTGTCATATGCACACACTATCAGTTAGCCACATCCGGCCTGTCCAGTAACAGGAGGATGACTACAAACCCTGTAAGATTTGGGGTATTGTTTCCTTGAACCTCACAATTCTGTCTTGCCTCTGGTCTTGGAAGCCTTCTGGAGATGGTTTTCAGAGGAGGAACGTTTAGATTGTGCCATGGAGTGGGCATGCTGTGACCTCCTTCAGGCTGGTGGACCTAACTTGCCCTTTATGTCCCCAGGCCTGGCATACAGTAGGTGCCCAGTAAGTGTGCAAGGACTGCCTGCCTGAGAGGCCTTCTGTCCTGGGGGCTGGAGCTACATTTCGGGAGTGGTGGGGATCATCCTTGTCACACTGTGGCATGGGCAGGGTGGCCATGCAGGTGAGGGTGACTTCTGCTCTGGTCCTGACCTGGCTACCCTGCCTGGTGCTGGACACTGGTTTTTGCTGTTAGACTTCAGCTTTCCTCCCCAGAGCCTGATGTCACCGGTTTTGCACGGGCTCTTTCTTTTGCTCCTTTTGAACACTTATCCTGCCTGTGTAAGACCTCCCAGTGGCAGTCCTGCCTGGAAGCACACGGGCTGCCGGCGGTATGAGGTCTGTGGTGGCTTCTCCCAGAGGTATTTCTGGGTCTGTGTAATCCATCTGCAGTTGCACCAGGGCTGCTGGGCCTCTACACGTGCCTGGTCTCTGCATGCCAGGTCATTTTCCAGTGAAGAAGCCGACAGGCCTCAGACCAGCCCCTGAGGGTCTCTGCAGGGAGTTCTCAGCCTGACCTTGGAGACCTTACACCTTTCAGGGCAGCAGACAGGCAATCAGAGGCAGAATCCAAGGGCTCCAGGGCCAGGACTCTGCTCTGGGCTAGTAATGCTGATGCTGGCTGTCATTTGCTTTGGGCCCACTAGGTATGTGCAGGGCCATCGCCTCTAAGGCTGCCTGCGATCCAAACCACACACCTGTGTAGGCAACATGGGCCCCAAAGATCAGAGGAAAGTGTCCCTTCCAGTTTGGAAGTGATCTGAGCTGAAGGACGAGGAGGTCTGGACAACTAGAGGTGGTGGGAAGAGGGTAGGAGCGGAAAGAGAAGCCTGCAACATTGTCAGTGCCAGTGCTCATGATGTCAGGGTGGTGGTGATGGCCGTGATGAGTAGTGGTGGCAATGGTGAGCATGAGGATATAGAACGTGATGGAACGATGGCAAGGATGGGGATGGTCACGGTCACGACGGTGGCAAGAATGGTAATGATGGTGCTGATGGGTGGGAACAAGGATGGTGATGAGGATGTGGTAAGGAAGGCGGTGGTCATGGTGACGACGGAGATTGCGGTGATGATGTCATAGTAAAGATGGCGGTGACAGTGTCGATGGGGATTGTTTTGGGGCTGGTGATGAGGATGGTACCGAGGATAGTGTCAGTAATGACAACTTGTGTGCTTCCCATGTGCACCGGGCTGAGTACTGTTTCCGGGTGTTGAATTCCTTTGTTCAGCAGCAGGCTTGGCAGCACAGTCATTACCAGTTCCATGGCACAGACCGGAGGCTGAGTTTGAGAGCTGCAGCAGCTTGCCCCGACCTGCCCATGCCATTGTGACCCAGTGCCCTCTGGCTGCCACAGCTGCCAAGACCCCTCACTGCTCTGTCAGGGGCTGACCGGCGTATGTTTACTTTATAGGCTATGGTGTCATGGCGGATGGGACGACCACTTACGTGAATGCATCTGCGTGCACTGTGAACTACCAGCCCGTGAACCCGCCCATAGTCATCGACTTGCCCACACCCCGGAACTCCTGACTCTCCCCTGCTGCCCCAGCCCTGCCCACCTGCATCAGCTGCATTGCCTGGCCGAGCGCACGGATCCCCTGCCACACTCTCTTCCATGCAGAACAACCTAGACACCCTATCTGGCCCCGGAGACCAGCCCCAAGATGGGTCAAGGCCTTGGAATGAAGGAAATCAATCCCCTTTGACCTTTAGCCTCTGTTACCAGCCATCAGGACCCTTCCTGGCCCCAGTAGGGCGTGCGCTCATTACTGTTTTTGCTTGTACATCCACGAGGACCTCTCTCAAGGGCTCATGGCCCATCTTGCTTGGAAATTGCCTGAATGCTCACCCTGCTCAGCTGGATACTCTCCTGCTTTGGAAGCTGCTGCTCTTGGACAGGCTCTGGAGATGGTTGCACAAAATGTCTTTCTGTCCCAGGGTATGTGGCTGTGAGTCCCAGAATCAGAGATGGTGAAAGTTTGTAGCCTGGGCTGGGGAGCCCTTTCTCTCCTGCTAGGCACCGGTAGCCGAGCCCTCAAAGGGAGTGTCGGGGACATCTCAGGAATTTGGGCCGCACCTGGTTGGCCCCACAGAGGTTGGCCTTGCTGTTCCCCTCTTTCTTCCTGTGGGCATATTTGCTGATGTGACAGTGGCCTGAGCATCCCAGGCATTTATTTGCTCTGACCCTGGATTTGGGTGATTGGTCCCACAGAATGAGCCATCTTTGTGCCCAGAGCCTGCTGGAGGGTTCCACATCATGGTGGGACAGAGCTTGGTCCCATGGGGACCACCCTGCTCTGCAGAACACAGCAGCCAGGAGGGTCTGTGGGCCAAGGCTGTGGTGCCACCTGTCACATGTCTGCACCCATGTGCACACACCCTCTAAGTATAACGAGGTGCACCCGTGCCTCCCGTTACTGTTCTGCAGCAGAGCTCTCCTCCTTGGTATGACCTTCTCAAAGCACCGGTGACAGGCGGGCCCTGGGCTCCTACAGCTGCACCCTGGACAGCTTCCTTTTCAGGGGCTGGGCTCTAGGCAGAAGGGACCAGCGGGGTCAGGCAAGTGGGAGGCAGGAGGCAGGGGCAGGCTGGGACAAGGGCAGAGTCTGTCTTTATTTAAAATGTTGATATTTTGTTTGTCATTTTTACATTCATTTTGATTTCAACATTGTATTAAAATAGTCTTCTATCTGCACCAATTACTGACGTTTTTTGCACCCCCTTTACCTGGCTAGGGAGGAGGGCTTCACTCTCTTCCCTGGGAAGCAGGCTTCCATGTGCCCTTTTTTTTTCTTTTTCTTTTTTTTTGATACCGGGGATCGAACTCAGGACCTTCCTTGCGTTTGCGAGGCAGGCGCCGGAACCACTGAGCTAAATCCCGGCCCCTCCATGTGCCCTTTATCATCTCCTTTTGTCCTCTGACAGTCCTGCGAGGTTGGTACTGTTGTCCTCATTTTAGAGATGAGGCAGCGGAGGCCAGAGAAGCATAGTAATATGTCCAAAGGCACACAGCACAAAAGGGACAGAGGCAGGATTTGAACCTTGGTCTCTGGCTTCAGAAGAGCCCTTGTTTTGCCACTGTCCAGCGTTCTCTTCCTTGCAGAGCAGTACCTGGTCCAGGGCCCTTTTTGTGTTGCTTTTGGAGGGTCTTGTTCAAAAGCAGTTGTGGTTTCTTGGACTTAAAGGAATCCTGAACTCTGCCCAGCATCTTTGCATCCTGGAGACTGGGATTTCCTCCCAACTTGAGAGAGCCGGGTCACGAATTCCCGGGAGCCTGGCAGAAGTGTCACTCACGTTGGCTGGGGATCCCGCTGGGCACATTCACAAGGTCTCTAAGGCGATATAGACGCACTCCGAGGAGTATGGGGGTAGAGAAAACACAAGACTGTGTTCGTGTTGCCTCTGCTCAATTTCTATGCGAACCAAGAACTATGACTTTAAAGAATAAAATGTTTTTCCTAAGGTATCTTCAGAATATGGTGTATTTTTATGTGGAAAAGAAAAGTTATGAAGGCAGCTGTTACTTTAAGAGAAAATTCATTAAAAGTCCTTGAGGTATGAAAGATGATGGTGTGCTCCTCAATCATTTTGGCATAACTTGATTGTGGCTGTAATTTTTTTTTTGTCAAGCATGTCAGACAATAAAGTCTTTGTAAAAAGAAAGTGCATTCCGAATGGCGCATCTTCCTCTGGGTGTCCCTATGTGTCGGGTGTAGCGGAGGAGTCCTGAGTCCTGGCAGAGTTGGTGGCTCAGACCCTCCGTGCAGCCATGATGTCATCCCTGTGCCTGCAGTGCCTGTCTGTGGGTGGAGGGGTTGCAGGGGTAGTGGCACAGGCAGGCTGTGCTGTGTCGTGTTCAGAGACCTCAACTGCCTAATCTCCCAAAGTGAACGACCTCAAGATAGCCTTAGCTCGGGTCCGTCACTGGAAGTAATGTGTTCAACCCAGCCCTGGGAAAACAAAAACTCCAGGCACTGCCTGACAAAAGCAATGGCAGGTACAATGACCCCAGTCTAAAAGCCTCCCAAGGTACAAAATTCTACCATTTATATCCATCTGTCCATCCATCTAACCAGCCATTCATTCATGCACCCATCCATTGACCATCCATAATTCTATTTCTCCTTCCCTCTGTCTCTCCATTCATCCATCCACCCATTTGCCTACCCACTCATCAAGCTATCCATTCATCCATCCATCCATCCATTCACTCACCCACCCACCTGCCTAACAAACTATCATCATCCATCCATTATCCATCCATCCGCCCACCCATCCAAAAACCCACCTACCCTAACAGCAATCCATCCGTCTAACCACCTATTCACTCACCCATCAACTTGCTCACCTATCCATGCACCTGTCTACTTCCGCCATAAACAGTCACTGGGGAGCCCCCTCAGCCTGGCTGGGACCGGGGAAATGCTAGTGGTGATAGGGTCAGGTTGAGGAGTTATGATTGGTGAGATCTGGTGTGGGCGCAAGGGTGAGGCAGAGCCAAAGATAGATACTGGCTGCCAGTCATGGAGGGGAGCATGGGAGCAGCACAGCCAGGCTTGAGGATGGATACATAGCTCTGCATTGGCCTCTTGGGTTGGTGATGGCCTTGGGCCACCAAGGGGGAAGTATCCAGTGGCCCAGTGTGTAAATGCCCTGAAGGAGAAGGGGCCTCTCTGGGCACAGTGGTGGAGCTGTGAAGCTGGGAGGCCTCCCAGAGAGCTGTGCAGAGACAGCAGGAGTAGCCAGGGGATACACAAGGTGCCATCCTCTCCGTAAGTCTCTCCTGTCCCCACCAGGGCCTCACAGGCACCTACAGCTCCTGTCTATCTGACCTGAGGCTGATGTGAGCCTGCAGGACTTCTGGGCAGCGCAGGGACCCTCTGAGGCTGCTGCCACCGGTATTGCTATCACATTGCTTATGCTATGTTAGCGCACTGGGGTCCTGAGTGTTGTTATTTTGCAATGCTGGTGATGGAGCCCAGGGCTGTGTGCATGCTAAGCAAGTGCTCACCCCAGGCTACACGCTCAGCCCAGGACAGGAAGTGGGTGGTCAAGGACTCATTCCAGGGAGGTGTGGGGGCGGGCCGGGAGGTGAGCCACTCATGAGCCAAGGTTTCCGGGCCCTCAGCCTGGACTCCATTGTCCCACGGAACATCACTCACACACTGTATTTCAGAGGTAGAATTAGGAATTCTGAGAAGGAAACCAGGTGCAGTGGTCCACACCTTCTGAGCAGAGGACTCAGCTGTGCTTTGTGCAGCTTAAGCACAAGCTACCATGTGATATATAGCTGCTATGGAAACGTCTTCTGGGGTTGTCTCTTTATGATAGTCATAACCGGGATGCACCAGGACAGCATTTGCTTTGTGCCTAGTCCCTTGGCAAAGGGGAAATGGATTACTGGAGAATGGAAGCCAGAGACAACAAACCGTACTGCCAGACTGCTGAACCCGTCAGCAAGAGCCTGGGAGGCACTGTGTCTGGTCTGCCTTGTGCTTGGCGCTCTGCTAGGGGTGAGGACACTGAGTGCAGGGTAACAGCAGCATCTCTGCCTGTAGCCTGTGGACTTTCTGGCGAGGTAGACAGCGAGGAAAGGAGGAGACGCTTCAGAGATGACCAGTGAGGGTCCTGAGGCTAGCTGCATTGAATAACAGGTATCCTGTTGTGTGACCATGGGGGCAGGTGAGGTGACACTGAGGCGGACTCTGAGTGGGTAAGAGGGAGTCAGCCTTGCTCAGAGCTGAGGGCAGGGTCTAGCAGGAGGCTGGCAGGTGCCAAGGCCCTGGGGCAGGAGCTGGCTGAGTCTCCAAGAAGCAGAACAAAGGCCATTGTGGGGAATCAGAGTGAGCAGGTGGCTGAGCTGAGTTCTACAGGATCAGTGGTGACTCCTGGGGACAGAGAGGGAACTGCCCAAAGCCCTGACCTTAAGTGTGCATCAGCTATCTCTTGCTGCAGCAAGGCTGTGGGACACCTGCTGAGCCTGGGGACACAGCAAGGGCTCGAGCTCCACATCTGGATTATGGGCCGATGTGTGGCTCCGGTTGGGCTCACTCACATCTGGAGCCACTGGCTGTGGCTAATGGAGGATGGTGTCTTAGTCCCACAGAGTACTTGAGGCTGAGTACTCTATAAAGTAACAAGGTTTTTTAGAGCCCAACTTACGGACGCTGAAATTCCAAAATCAGGGGACCCTATGTGTTTGGCCTCTGATCATCTCCATTAGGCCCCGCCACACCGCTACCACCTTGGGGACCACTTTTCCACCTCATGAGCCTTTGGGGGATGGGGGACACCAAATCCATGGCAGAGGGCTCAGCCGGGATGACCAGGGCCACTCAACTTCCCTCTCTGTGCCTTCTGTCCTTCAGTGATGTAGCCTAGGGGCTTTCACTACAAGGTCAGAGGTGCAAACTGAGGGCAAGTAGAGTCTTGCATGGGCTTTGGGAGCTAATTTTCCATTTAGAAAACAAACCTTTTACTTTGAAATCATTTTAGGTTTATGGAGGATCCTTCCCCAGCAACTCCCATGAACCATGGAGCTTTCATCAACACTGAGAAAGTAGCATGGGCACAGCTCCCCATCCTCCAGCTCTAGCTGGGTGGCAGCAGCTCCTGACTGAGGTCCTTCTGTCCCAGAATTGAATCCACACATCCCGGTGGCACAGGGGCGCCCTGTCCCCTAAGGCTCGCTGGGGCTGTGTGAGCCGCTCAGTTTTTCCTTGCTTTTTGTGACCATGGCAGTTCTGAGGAATGCAGGTGGGTGAAGCATTTTGCAGGATGCCCTTCTGTTTGGTTTTGTCTGACGTTTTCTCATGGCTTCTATTTTTAAGAAGACTACCATGAGCTTGGGCAAGGTGGATCGTGCCTGTGATCTCCGGGAGGCTGGGGCAAGAGGGTCCCAAGTTCAAGCCCAGCTCGGGTAACTTACTGGCTTAGTGAAACTGACTCAAAATAACAAGTGGAAGAAAAAAAAAGGCTGGGGATGTAGCTTAACATGAAGGCCCCGAGTTCATTCTCCTGGACTGAAAAAGAAAAGAAAGCAAGCCAGCCAGCCAGAGAGGTGGATGTGCTCAGGACACGAGGCACAGTGGCTCACTCTTGGTGATTAGCACTGGCCACTTGGTTAAGTGATGCCCCAGATCTCTCCATGCAAAGATCTTGGTTTCCTTTCTGCACCAGGTCACTGGGCCTGGCTCACACTGGAGGAGTGGGGAGCCTGGCTTCCTCTTGGCGGATGGAGCATCAGAGAATCTGCACATCTAGGTGCTCTGAGGCCACACTGAGCCTGAAGTCTCAGCATCCACTAGCTGGCCCTACGTTCCACAGTGATGGCTGTGGCAGTCACAGGGTGATTTTCTTCCCTCATTATTTCTGCATTTATTACTTAGAAGTTTTCTGTAAGGAAGATTTATCCCTTCTCTGCCACTTATTTACCTCTGTCGGTAGGAGCTGGCTCATATTCTTTGGTTATAATCTAACACTGTCACGATTTATCTTGTTGCTCAAATTGTTCCAGCTCTGCCCACGGGAAGCTGAATTGGCTCCTGGGTCTTGCATCCTTTTGGAAGAGATCGGGCACGTTCAGGGTGGTATGGCCGTAGACTTGGATCCTTTTGAAACATTCCCATCTTTGGTTTAGTTGGTTTTTCACTTCTTTTCCCTCTCTCCCTCCCTCCCTTTTTCCTTTCTTCCTCCCCTCCCTTTTCTTCCCTTCCCTTCTTTTCTCTTTTCTTCTCTCCCACTTCTTTCTAAAATTTTATCTTAAGACAGGATCCTATTAAGTTGCCCAGGATGGCCTTAAACTTGTGATCCTCTTACCTCAGGCTCCTGAGTAACGAGGATTACAGGTGTACCCCACCACATCTGATTAGTTTCTTTCTTTTTTTGGTACTGGGGATTGAACTCAGGACCTTGCACTTGCGAAGCAGGTGGCGGAACCACTGAGCTAAATCCCCAGCACTGATTAGTTTCTTATTTTCTGGCATTACAAGATGTTCTAGGGGGGCTGGAGATTTAGCTCAGTGGCACAGTGCCTGCCTGGTAAGCACGAGGTCCTGAGTTCGATCCCTGGTACCCCCCCCCCCAAAAGATGTTCTAGGCTCATCTTGTATTTTCCTTGCCCTGGCCCTAGAATCAGCCCTTTGTGCAGAGGACCCTAGTTCCTTCTATTTAAAAACTAGATTCTGGTTTAGGGCCATACCATCCTAGACATACCTGATCTCATCTGATCTCAGAAACAAAGCAGGATTGGGACTAGTTAATACTAAATGGGAGAAACCAAGATGTAAATAGTAAGTATACTAGTTGCTACTGTCCTAGGCTCTTTCTGGGATACAGCTAACAAATACACTTAGTGTGCCAGCCCATTTATGTATGTATTTGTCTTAGTTACTTTTTCATTGCTGAGACACAGTACCTGACACCCACAATTGTAAAGAGAAAAGATTTATTTTGGCTCAGAATTTGTAGAGATTTCAGCCCATAGTTGGCTGGCTACAGGGCAACATGGCAGAGTAGCCTAGCAGAGGATAAACAGTCCATGGCAGGGTAGGCAGGAAGCAGAGAGGGATCAAGGGAGGAAGAAGGAGATGGACCTTTCCAGACCATGCCCATAGTGACCCACATCTTCCCATCAGGCTTCACTTCTCAACATCACACCTAGTTATATACTCATCAGTAGTCCACTGATGAGTATCACATTTAGCTATAAATTCATCAGTGGACCACTCCACTGATAAGTATCATGCCTCCATGATCCAATCGCCTTCCCAAAGTCCTATTTGTGAGCTCCTAAGGCTTTGTGGGGACATCTAGATATAAACCATAACAATATTTTATCTATATCCATCTGGCCACCTATCCATCCATCCATCCACCCCTTAACTTAAACACTAGCTCTTATTGACACCCCACCCTCCAGCCTTGCTTGCAGTTCATGCTGCCTTCCCCCTTGCATATCTGATGTTGCAGTCTGGCTTCTATATTTACAATACACTTCTGCATAGTCCCCCTAGTACTCATGGTGGCTTCAGAATTGCCACTCTTACCTTGTGAGAAGCATAGCTACCAACAAGGGCACAGTGTGGGTGTGCAGGGTTTTTTCCCTTTTCTTTTCTTTTCTTTCTTTCTTTCTTTCTTTCTTTCTTTCTTTCTTTCTTTCTTTCTTTCTCTTTCCTTCTTTCTTTTTTTTTTTTGGTCTTTTACTTTACAGTCAAAACCCACTTTTCCAAAGTCAGTTCTACCTACCCACTTAGTGAGGAGATGTTACACATTTGTAACATGGTCAGATTCTTATGACACAGTCTGAGTTTCACCCTGAGAACCCCTGACCTCCTGGTTGGTTGCTTTGAGGTCATCTACAACAAGGTCCACTCTTTGTGGTGTCATTTCTTTTTTTTTTTGGTATAGGGGATCGAACTCAGGACCTTGCACTTGTGAGGTAGGAAGTGGCACCATTGAGCTAAATCCCTGGCCCTTGTGGTGTCATTTCTATGAGGGGTCAGATGTCCAATAGCACAGCACAACAGGGGACAGTCCCCCCCACCTTGTTTTGTATTTTTGAGACAGTATCTCATTATGTAGTTTAGGCTAGTCTTGAACTCACTATGTAGCTCAGACCAGCCTCAAACTCACAGTGATCCTCCTACCTCAGCCTCCCAAGTGCTGGGATTACAGGTGGGAGCCACCATGGTTGGCTCCAACTCTGGAACTCCCTTATAGGGGCTTTTGTAGCTGCACTGTTTTCCAGAACAGCAGTATGCTGTTGCAACCTACCAGAAATGAATGCATTTCCTACCCTCACTGGAATTTGGTACTATCAATTTTTAAAATTGTAGCCATTTGAGTGGGTAGGAGGCAGTCATCTTATGGTTTGAATTTCCATTTCCATAATGACATTGAACATCTTTGACATGTGCTGGTTCGCCTTCCACAGATATTCTTTCATGAAGTATTCATCTTCCACAGATAGTCTTTCATGAAGTATTTGCTTAGAACTTTGCCCTCTCTCCTTTAAAACATTGGGTTTTACTGAGTTTTAGGGATTCTTTATATTCTGCACACAGATCATTCTCCTGGTCTGTAGGCTGTCTTCTTAATGTCTTACTGTCTTTCTCAGAGCAAAACTTTAAATCTGTAAGTCCAATTTATCATTCTTTCCTCTTACAAATAATTTTAGTGTTGTATCTAAAACTTCATTTTCAAACTCAAAGCCATGAAGATTTTCCCTCATATTTTCCTTTAGAAGTTTTGTGCTTTGCATGTAGGTCCATAGTGGATTTGAGGTTATTTTTGTAGCACAGGTGAGGTGTATGTTAAGGTTCACATTTTTGCACGTGGACATCATTCCTCCATGAATCACCTTTGCACATCTGTCAACATCTGTTGACTACACTGGGGTGGTTCACTTCTGGGCTTTCTGTCCTGATCTACTGATCTGTCTGTCTATCCTTTAGGTAACACCATACTTTCTTGATTACTATAATTTTTGAGTAGGTCTTGGAATCAGGTAGTATGAGTCTTCCAATTTTGTTTTTCTCTTTTGGATCTATTTTGTCTATTCTAGTTCATTTACTTTTCTACACACATTCTAAAATTAGCTTGTTGATATCTATCAGAAATTCTTGCTAGGATTTTGGTTGAGACTTCACAGACTCTACTAGTCAAATTGTGCAGGGCTGTTTTAACAACTGTCTTCCAACTCAGGCATACCATTCAGATCTCTATTTATTTGATGTTTGGTTTTGCTCCTCAGGCCTTTGTAATTTTCACTATACAGATCCTGTAGAGATGTTTTAGATCCCCAAGTGTCTCTCTGGGAGGGGCCATTATACTTGGTACTGACTTTCAACTTTAATTCCAGTTGTTTGCTGATGGCACACAGGTAGGTGGTTAACTTTTGTATATTGACCTGGGTTATGGTTTAGACCTAGAATGCTGCCCTGAAGGCTCATGTATTCAGAGGCAGAGCTTCTGGATGGTGATTGGATAATGGGAGTGCTGTACTCATTGGAGCTAAATGTGCTGTTAGGAGGTAGGGTCCAGTTGGAAGAAGTGGGTCACTGGGGGCCATGACATGGAAGAGTGTGTCTCCCTCCCCAACTTCTCCCTCTCCCTCTGCTTCCTGGCTGCCGTGGGTGAGCAGCAGCTTTCTGGCACCCACACCCTTCCATCATGCAGTTTCTGCCTTGGAGCCAGCCCACCATGGACTGAAACCATGAGCCAAAATAAACCTCTCCCCCTTTAAGTTTCAAGTGTCAGACATTGTGTCTCAGTGACAAGAAGGTGACAATTCAGTTCTAGGAGGGTTTTGGCAGGTTCTTTGGAATGTCCATCCCATGCAGAGGCTCATATTATGGAGTCTGACAATTTTTGCCAGTTTTCTTGTTGCTTTTTTTGGAGAAGGGAATTTTTGGTGGCCCTTAATCTGCCTTTTTTGCTGATGCTATCATTATGATTCTATTTTATCTCCTCCTGACATATTTTTATTTTCTACAAATATATTTATAAAATATGTTTTTAGTGGTTGTTCTATAGTTTAAAAATATTTAAAAATAATTTATATGTCTTCAAATAACATCATACTGTTTCCACATAGTACAAGAACCTTCTAATAGTACACTCAGATTCTTTCTTTCCATACCTTCCATCACTATTGTCTTATTTTAAATGTGATCAAAACATAGTGCATTGTCACACATTTTGGTTTAAATAGTTATCTTTTAGTATTTAGGGCATAAAATATTTTATTTCACAGTCAGTTATTTTATTTGATGCTCATTTCTTTTGATAGATCACAATTTCTGACTCAATCATATTCTGCCTACAGAGCTCCTTTTAACATTTCTATTAGAGTAGATCTCTGACAATGAGTTCCTTCAGTTTTTGGGTGTCTAAAATATTCTTTATTTTTCCTGATTTTGGTTATAGAATTTTGACAGTTTTTCCCCAGTACTCTGAAAGTCTTAGTGATAATCTCCATTGTCTTTGGCTAGCATGGTTTCTGGTGAGAAGTCAGCTGTAGTTCTTGTCCTTATCCCTGGGTTGGCAGTGTGTCTTTTTTCTCCACATGGCTTTACAATTTTTTGTCTTTGTTTGCAAGAGTCTGAATGTGGTAGGCCTGGGTGTGCATGCATGCACGTGTGTGATTGTGAACCCTGTCTGGTTCTATAAGTTTCTTTTAGTCTAATGTCTGTAACTAATTTTGGAAAATTTGTAGCCATTATTTATTAAAATATTTCTTCTTTGCTATGCTCTCTTTCTTTTCCTCCTTTGTGTGTAGTCATGTGTCTATGTGAGGCCATTTCATATTGTCCCATGGCTCACGTATTGTTATTTTCTTTTTCGTTTTTTTTTTGGTACTGGGGATCAAACTCAGATCCTTGTGCTTGTGCAGCAGATGGCAAAACCACTGAGCTGAATCCCAGGCCGTTATTTTCCACACTCTCTCTTCTCTTTAGGTTTCAGTCTGGGTTCCTGGTACTGACTTGTTTTCAAGTTCACAGGTCCTTCCCTTGGTTGTGTTAAATTCCCAATGAGTCTGTCAAAGACACTCTGCATTTTTGTTGCAATGGTTTCAAGCACTTCCACTTGCTTTCTTATAGTTTCAGCTCTGCTGAAATTTCCTATCTGATCATATGTGTTGTCTTCCTTTTCCATTAGAGCTTTAACAGATGAATGTTATTTAAAATTTCTTTTTTGGTAGTCCCCAAATCTATGTCAAATCTGAGTCTGATTCTTATGATTGTTTTTTCTCTACAGACTATGTTTTTTAAAAATTGTCTTTGGTATGTATGCCTGATTATTTTTTATTGAAAGCTGGACTTTTTTGTTTTTGCCTTTTTAAAGACAGTGTCTCACTATGTAGTCTAGGTTGGCCTTGAGCTTGTGATTCTTCTTCCTCAGCTTCCCAAGTGTTGGAAAAAGCTGGACATTTGTATAGTAGGGGCCAGCAAACTTGCTCTATAAGGAGTCAGACAGTAAATACTTCTGGATTTGTGGGCTACATATAGTTGCTTGTTCTTGTTTCCCCCTTCTCCTCCTTCTTCAGCTCTTAAAAAATGATGGGTTCACAAGGCTGCTGAACAGTGCTAAGTGTCTCAGCCTCAGGAAGTCGGAGGGGATTCCTGGGAGGAGTGACTTTAGATTGAGTTTTAAAGGAAAAATTGGCATTTCCTGAGGAGCAGATGTGTGTCTGTGGGGAAGTTGAAGCCCAGCAGCAGAACGGGGGTTGGGCACACCAGTGGGGCCTCAAATGCCAGGACCAGGGCACATGGGCAGGACATCAGCCTGCCCTTCATCCCTCAGCACCCATCCTCCACCATAGCTGGCATTTGGATAGGTTAAGAATGCGCTTTTATTTTCTGCAAGCATAGGAATGAACCTTTAATTTCTGGGGTTGTAAGAACAGTTGGCAGATACCAAAGTTCCTTCCAGAGCTCACTGAAAGCCCAGCATCACCCAGATTTTTGTAGATGAGATTGAAATTTAGCCAGCTGGAGATGTCACATCAGATGTCCTAACAACATGCACATGGAGCAGCGAATGGGATGGGACAAGGCCTCAGGGAGCAGGAAGACAGACCCGCCAGCTATCCAGGCCCTGTGAACCCGACCTCCACGCTGACCTGTGGCTCTGGCCTGCTGGCCTCTGGGGAGGCACTAGGCCATGCCCTATAATGGTGGCAGATGTGGTGACTAAATGTCACATGGCAGGGTCCTCAGTCACAGATGATTTGGTTAGAAACAAATCTCCAGAATTGCAAAGAGTGCCGGCGTCCCAGTGTAGGACGACGATAGAGGAAGTTGAGGTGAAACTCAGAGGACAGCCCCAGCCCTGTCACTGCCTGAGGAACCAGACAGAATAGAAGGAAAAGCAGCTGCATCCAGATCTTTCTGGCATTCAGTGGATGAATCCCTCTTGGTGGCCTCGGGAGGGCTGAGCCCAGAGCCTGGATCTGATGTGAGTGAGGTGTTCTCTGGGGTCCGGCTGGCCAGTGGCAGGGAAGGGACAGCAGTGTGTGTCCCCAGGACAGAGGTGCGCCATGCAGACAGTGAAGCAGGGGCTGCAGATGTCTGCCCTGTGCTCTAGGATGGGGCCATAGGTAGGTAAAGGAGGTGAAAGCCCTGGGAGGATGGAGCAGGGACCCAGCAGACAGCCAGGAACACAGTTCTCAGAAATCCCAAGTTCTTAAATACTTTATCATTAGCAGTTCTTTTAAAGTGTCAAGAATCATTCCTGCGAAGATTATTTTATTTGCTCAAACTAATGAGGCTGCTGAGCTGCCTGGCGGCAGTGGAGAGAGGCATCTGGACTCGCAGCCTGGGCCAGTGTCTGCTCTGGAGACACGCTGGGAAATTCATCAGACCCCATGGTTCTGTGGCTTTGTTAGCTGTGGGACAGACAGGGCCTGTCTGTTGTTGGGGTGTGCTTCGGCCATGTCTACTGCAGGAAGGCCCGGAGGAAGTCATTGTAGAAGACCTTGGAGGACAGTGTCTTGTCGTAGTACTCAAGCAGATGGAAGAACTCCTCCTCTGAGAGGTTGATGCTGAACTGCCTCAGCACCTGGGGACAGAGGAGAACCTGTGGCTCCCAGGCTGGGCAGGGATGTGTCTGGCTCTGGCCTGCCCAGTGCAGCCCCTGGGTACCAGCCTGCAGCTCTGAGGACTGGGAAGCAGCCCCAAGGCAACTGGGTGTGACTGCAGGACAGGTAGGAGTCACTGTTTGCCCACTCCCACTGGCCCATCCAAAGGTGACACCTGGTGGCTTCCCTGCAGGGCATGAGGGCTGCCAAAGAGGAGATATTGGAAGAGACCCGGCTGCAGGGCTTCAGCATGGTGGAGCCTCTGGCACAGCCCACCAGGACAGCTGACCACAGGTGCAGTCTCGATGACACGACAGTAGTACAGCCTGTGGTCCCCACATATCCTGCTGTATTTTGCACCCCCACCGCCACCCCGGAGCAGCTAAGGTAGCCCCGCCCACGTCACCTGGTTGGGAAGAAAAGGCAAATGGAGGTCTTGGAGTGGGCCTTGTGTTAGGACAGCTGACTCAGAGGTCTTGGCCACTCAGAGCCTGGCCTGGGGTCAGCTCGCCTATGCCCGGTGGAGCAGAACCACTGTGTGCTGCAGGGCTGAGCTCACTGTGCAGGCTGCTGTGGAGTCCACCATGCCCACAGAAGGGCCACCCTGCTCTTCTGGGTTTGCAATGAGGCTCAAGGTGGAGGCTTCGGCAGGGCTCAGGGTCAAGGTCCAGGCTGGCCAGGATCCGGGGTGGGCACAGTGGCTGCAAGGCCTCTAAAGAAGTTGGGCTGGCAGTGGCTCTGGGTGGGATTTAGGGGGTACAGAGGAAGTCCCTGGACATGTTGGGGAGGGGAAATGGAGTCTGCAGGCAAGGTGGACCAGGCCTGGGGGTGTGGTGCGGCCCCCTGTGGGGCTCACCTTCCTGAAGTCTTCAGCGCTCAGGAACCCTGTCCCGCCCTTGTCATAGGCTTTGAACATGCGCCTCATGGGCCTCCAGCAGTGCAGGGTCTTGGGCTGGATTTGAAGCAGAGCTTTGTAGAAGGAGGATGTCTCGGTACCAGCTTCTTTCTAGGAGACAGAGCGGGAGGAAACTGGGAATGGGAAGGTGGGTGGGTGGCCTGGTGGTGGAGAGGGGATGTGAATCACTGCATCCAGACACAATCGCTTCCTCTGTGCTCAAGGAGCCTGTGTGGGCCGTGTAGACACAGCCTCTGGGGCCTTCCCACACCTGGAAGGAGGGGGTCCCTGACCCCATTTTATAGACTTCAGAACAGAGGCTCAGTGGGGGACGTGACACAGGCTCTGAGGCCAGCACACAGCCGGCCATACCTGGCCAATTTCAAAGTAGTTTGAGGAGGGAGAGAGAGAGAGAGAGAGAGAGAGAGAGAGAGACAGAGAGAGAGATATTGATTCCAGTCTGGGTCCTCTTGTAGGTTATTAATGAAGGGTGTTTTAAAAAAAAATTGCCAAGGTTGTAATTATATCTAGTAATTAGATAGTACTACACTGTGATTATTTCATTTAGGTGCTATTAGATCGAAAGCAGGATATTTTAGCATGATTTAGCCCCAACACATGTCTGAATATCACAGAGGTGAATGGTAGGCAGTAATGGGTAACACATTTTGGGGAAGTTTAATTTTAACATGGTGCTACATAAAACAAATTAGTACCGAGTTAAATTGCTTTCAATTTTTATATCATTTAGCACCTATGATGGAAAGTCCCCAGACACCCCAGAGCTTTGTGAGCTGCCAATCTGCCCAACCGGGGGGTCCAAGGCTGGAGACAGGGGGTTCTTGGCTCACCCCACACTGGTTCCCACCGTTGTCTGGTGCTCCCAGCCCCACCCCAGGCCTCCGAGGTGACCCTGGCACTGCAAGAAACAGCAGTACCCAAGCCGTGTCCCCAAAGGACATCTTCCTGCTGCTGAATGTCTCAGAGAAAACTCCCAAACAGCCAGACAACAAAACCTCCTTTTAGCTTCTCTGCAGGGGGACTTGTGGCCTGAGCGCCACTCTTGTGCAGTGGAGGCCTCAGCAGCTACCAGAGGGGACAGGGACCATGACCAGAGCCACTGGGGCTCTTTCCTGGGAGGCCACGAGAGCAAAGAGGAATGTGTGGTCTCCACATCTCCCGCACTATGTCCATGGGCCCTGCGAGGCTCTGTCGAGGGCAGCGTCTTCCCTATTCATGGAAGACGGAGCCAGCCTGAGAATCGCCTTGAATTTAATTTCCGTTGTGAACTTGTCCCTCGACAAGACTTTGCCATCATCTCTTGCTTGGCTATGCAGGAAGCTATGTTAGGATGCTTCCTGATTTTGCACAACATTACAGACCCAGCTGTCTAGAAACTTGCATGGGCTCTGCTTACCTGTTTGTGAGATGAACACTCTCGGGCCCCATACCTCTGGTGCCTGCAGTTGGAATCAGCCCTGTGTTCCTGAATCCACAATGCCAGTTGTACTCGCTGTTTGATGCAGCTTAGTTCAACATTATAGACAACAGAAGAGCCTGAAACCTATTTTCTGACTTCATAGTTTTGGTTTTTGTTTTTTGAGCTCTGGTCTCTCTTTTAGTTCAGGTTGGCCGTGAATCCATGTTTTGGAGAGATTGGAGCAAGACACGTGATGACTGCACAGTGGCTGCATGGGGAGTAGGCTTCAGAAGGTCAGGTCCAGAAGACCCTCAGCCTCTTGCTGCTACCTCTACCGCTTTAGATCCTTGTTCCTCTCTGAAGAAACTGGAAAGAGAAGTCCCCCCCCACTCCAACGAGGTCTCCTGCACATCTCAGATAACTGACAAATGGATGCATTTGTGTCTGATAAGAATGTGTGAGCCTGTCACGACCCCCACAGCCACACAGCCCACCCTGCCTCTTGTGTTAACTCAGGGTGTTATGTGAGTGGTTGACTCTGTGTCTGTTGTTCTGATGTTTCTGCTACTCCGAGAAGAGCCACCAGAAGCAGGTGTCTCCAGACTCATGGTTCCGAGGGAGAGAAAGGAAATCTCTAACTTATTTCCAAGAAAGTACATTCCTGAGCTGCCTTCAGTGTCCCCAGAGCCTGCTGGAGGCCTCATTACCCCCTGGCCCTGGCTCCAGGTGCCAGCCCGGACATTCAGACCCCATGGACTCCTGCTGCCTTCCCACACCTGTGAGTGGGTGAGGAATTGGGGAAAAGGCTCTGCAGGGCAGTGATCATGAGCCATTGGAGGACAGGCAGCAGGGCGGGGAAATAAAGGGTCGTGCCATGGCGACAAACTGAGAACACAGTGCCCATCACCCACCGCGGCACCCAGCGACGGCCTCGTACCATCTTGTGGGCATTCTGGATCTTCACACGCTGCATCAGTGAGGTCTCCTTGGCCCTGAGCAGGAGCACACAGCTCTGGATGAAGTCGCAGTAGGCAAATGTGCCATTGTCCCTCAAGTCATACTTCACAAGGAGCTGTTGGGTCTCCTCCTTGCTCACATCCAGGTGGAACTTCTCCATCAAAGCTGCGGGTGGAGGAAAGGCAGCGTGTTGGCCGCAGAACATTCATTCATTCTCTCTCTCACCCATTCATGCGTTCCTTTGCTCTGCTGTGGGTCCCGGCTCATTCCACCCCACAGAGCCTGGGGTGGATGGACACACATGTATGGGAACAGACACACAATGAACTGTTGTAGGGAGGGGTCCCTGTATCTTGCTGGCCCATACTGTCCTGAGTAACCTGCTGTCCTTGTCACCAGAGCTATGGTCACAGCATGAAGACTGCAGGATCCAGGATGATAGGGAGAGGCACTATTCCCAAAGGACAGAAGCTGGACACAGGGGACAGGGGCTGGGGGAGCCTGGCAGTGGCCAGGCGTTGAGGAAAGTATTCAGACTCCACCTGCTGACCTCATACTTTCTGAATGTGTGGTGGAGACACGCTCTCGAGAGTCATTAGGCTGTGGGCATGTACACGTGCGTCAGCTTTCATTCCAGTGACACCTGCAATCTGTGTGTGTGTGTGTGTGTGTGTGTGTTTGGTACCAGGGATTGAACTTGGGACCTTGCGCTTGCAAGGCAGGCACTGGAAACACTGAGCTAAATCTCTGGCCTGATACCTACAATCTGTAAACCTGGTTTGGAGCATGGCGACTCCTGAGAGTCCACTGCGGTGTCAGGGTTTGAGCCTGGCTTTCTGATGAGAGTCAGGTTGATGCCATGGGGCAGTGGCACATCTTAATGCTGGACATCAGCATCCACCCCTGCTCTTGTCCCCTTGGTACCAGTACTTGTGTGCAGTTACCTTCCCAAACATAAAGACAGGGCTGGTTTTAGAGGGACAGCTCATGTTCAAAAGAGTCTTGCGTAGGATAAGATTTTAGTACAATACACTGAGACTTTGATTTGAATCATGAAAGAACAGTGTCAAGTCTGGACCATGGGGCCATGCTCATAGGGGAGGCTGAGAGGGAAGCAAGGATGGGGTAAAGGATGTCTCTATGCACTGTGGAAACGAGGCTCTTTGCCATGCACAAATGAGAGTGGGAGATCTCAGGCCAGTGGGGCTGACAGAGAAGGTCACACAATGTCCAACCAGTGCACCCCTCTGCAAGGTGGATAACACAGGAGGACTTGAAAGCTCATAACTTTTTCTAGTGTTGAATTTTGGATGCCTACTAAAGTCTGGCAAGCCTACTGGAATAATGGATAGGTGATTTACATGATGTCAGTGTGAGAAAGAAAGGAGCAAGAAGAACAAGAACAGCAGCATAAGTTAAGGTCAGACAAGCAGAACTCACATGAGCATTAAAACCAATCCTGCTGCTCTGGCTCCGGCCAAAGTACAGCTGATGTGACACTGCTTGGTTATTACTGACTCCATGTTTTTATATTTAATTTTTTAAGCATTTTTATAGGAGCTGTTAAAGAGTTTATAGCCTGTTTTGTTTGTGCCTTTTTAGCCATGTAAGTCAGGATGAAGCAATTTCAATCAGTATTGGAGGATCCCAAGGAAAACAGGAGGAGGGGGAGGTAAGCAGGTGTTCAGCAGAGGGACGTGGCCCAATCCATGTTGCTGTAATGTAAAATGTTCCATAAACAATGAGCAGTGATTAGTGGGAGTATAAATCCAACTGGTTTCATTTTAAAAGCTTAGCAAAGTGATCAAAATGAAAAAACACCCAAGAGAAGGTGCTAATGTGGGCGGAGCCCTGGGAGTGTCCACCCACCCTTCTCTACCCTCTACCTGTCCCATCTGCATCACCTGGGGCCCGAGTCCCCCACCTGTCACCTGCTGTCTTCCACCTTACCCCTTCCCTCCACTGTCACAGTCTGGGGACATTCACATTCTCCTGGTGACCACAAGCAACCTGGTGTCCAGTCCCGAGAGTCAGTGGAGGTGGACTCTGCCACGTGGGTGTCACAGCTTGCTACCTACACCTGGGGCATCCTGACAGGACAGGTCTCCTGATCTACCATGCCTTTGCCTCCACCTGGAGTATGGGGCTGCACCTGGTGAGAATGGCTTTCTGCCGACAGGGGGACAAGGTGGTAAGGGGACCGAGTCACACAAACCCAGGAACTCAGGTGCCGTGATGGTCCCCAGCCTTGCCCTGTCCTTCTCCTTGCACTCCTTCAGCAGCTCCCGCCAGCAGCCCTGAACCTGCTTCCGGAGCCGGCTCTCGATGGGCTCACAGTTCTGCAGTGCTGGGGTGCCTGTTGGGGTCTGGAGGAGGGACAGAGAGGTCTTTTCACTTGAAGTTCCGAGTGGACACAATGACAAAAGTGCAGGCAGGATTGGGCTCTTGGAGTTTGCAGGATCACAGCCTATATTAGCTCAGAGGTAAGATGGAAAGTAAAACAGAGAGGCACTCTTGCAATTTAGCTTTTGTTTCCATCAGTGGGGCAAATCCTAATATCCAAAACAGTTTTGGAAATAAATACATAGCCAGGGTTGAAGTGTGTCAGTGGTGAGGGCTGTGTGCGTGCATGTGATGTGTGTGTGTGCAGTGTGCGTGTGGTGATGTAGTTTTCACTTGAGGAAAGGTCTTATCAAAGAAAGGGATTTGCTCAGCATCTGCATGAAGCACCCAACCCTGGGAACACAGAATATCCATTATTTTGAAATTACATGGACCTGGGACAAGGCTGCTCTTCATTGTATTTTCCATTTCAAAGGAGCTGTTCAGTCCAGTTCAGACCTTCTCCTGTGGCCCCCTTGACATGTGTCATTCAATACAGTACCAGACCCACTCAGCAGGCCCCAGGGCTTCCCCCTAGTTCCCCCCAACCTGGGCCTGGTGTCTCAGTGGACAGCCATACCCTTTCTCAAGCTGCTCACGCCAAAGACTTCCATGTCCCCCCCTGACTACCCTCACCTCTCCATCCTAATCCAATCCATCAGGAACTCCTTTGGCCCTATCAGGAAGATGCATCCAGAGTCAGGCCTCTCTCCAGTTGCCCGCCACCACCACGATGCCAAAACCGTGGTCTCTGGCCATGGCATGGCCATCTTCCTCCCTGCTCCTTCCTGCCTGTCCCTCCCCAGTGTCCAGTGTGGTCTCCAGAGTCCCTCAGCTGCCCAGAAATCTTTATGGGACACTCGAACATGTCCCCCTGCAGTTCTGGAGCTCAGAAGTCCAAGAGGGTTTACTGAGCTAAAATCAAGGTGTCTGGATTCCTTTCTAGCTTCTCCCACTGCTTGGCTGGTGGTGCCTCCACCAAGCCAGCAGCATCAGGTGGGCCTTTCTCAAATTGCATCTCTCTGGCCCTGATTCTCCAAGTAAAGACTCCTGTGCTCACCCCAGCTGGCTGGATCCACCTGGATAATCTATCCAAAGCCAGCTGACCAGCAGCTAATTCCATCTGCAACCCGGTGCCCCTCCCAACACGCTGATACCCTTGCAGATCCCAAGGATTGGGGTGCGGACACTGGGGTGCTCCTGACCCCTCGTTCTGCTCTACTTCCTGCTTTTGGACTTACTGATGGCTCACACTCCCCACCTTTCCTCTCTTGTGACAGCGCAATCCCCACACAAAGAGGCCCTTTGCTGTGGACCCCACAGGAGCACCTGTCACGTGGCAGTAATCACACACTGCACAAGTGCACACGTGACCTGTGACATCTCTGAGGGCTGTCGATCCCTGGGCACTGTAAGGGCAGCACTGTGTATTCAGGGACACATTCTTCCACCCTTCACTCCCTGGACACACTGCTTGTTTCTAGAGGGAGAAAGTGCCTGCCCGTGCCAACCTGGGCACCTCCCTCTTGTCCCTGCCAGGCCCAGGGTGGCACACCTCGGGGCCCACAGTTCCACATCTAACTGGAGCACAGGAGTCACTCACTAGATCTCATTGCCTGTGAGACAGGCACACACTTACCCTGTGCCACCTGGCCAGGTGTTTTCATGCCACAGGTGCTGCAGCACTGCTGCCCTGCCCCTCCTTTCTGCTCTGCTCTTCCCTTCCACCCTTGCCCACTCCTCCTTTCCATGGAGCCCACTCCTGCCTTCCCCCACCCCCATCCCTCCCAGAGAAGCATCCGCTAAGCCCCCCACCCTGTGACCTTCTGTGCCCCTGTCCAGGCTCATGCTGTGCCCAGGGGAGGTTTGTGGATCTGCTGTGAGATGGTGCAGGGTGCTTGTCGGGGTGCACACTCACACAGGGCTGACTCCATGACTTCGACCCTGCCTGAAGGTCGTGCGTGGGTGAGGAGACAGCAGATTGGGTTCTCTCTGAGACCTTGGGGACGCTGCTCCCCTTCTGGGCCTGGGTTGAGTTGCCTGTGGCCGGTGGTGCAGCTGCCCTCTCCATGCTGAACCTGCTCAGGAATTCCTGGTACTTCAGCCTCCCCTTGGCATTCACGGGCATCTCGCTCCAGAGCCTGTCAAACTGGGAGAAGCAGAAGGCATCCCCAAGTGTCATCATAGACCCACCAGGAAGCCCAGAGCCCCACCTGTGAGGCAGGCAGTGCTAGCGGTACTGACAGAGGCTGAGACCTTCGAGATGAAAACATTACAAAGGGGGGAAAAAAGCCCATTTGGCCTGTGCTGGGTGGAAGCCTGTGGAAGACTGGAAGAGCCAAGGTAAGAGGATTATTCATGGCTTCCGCAGGACATTTTTTAATTGAATTGGGCCCTCAGTGAGCCATTTAAGGCCATTAAATCTTGTGATTAGTCACAGTGACTGAGCCACAGTGTATAAAAACATTTTAGGAGAAAATGCAAATCAAAGTCCTGGCTCACCTTTGTCCCAGGGAAGCCACATCTGACTCATTTCTCTTCTTTCCCCTACACCTGATTTCAGCAAACAGCTCACCAGGTGACCTGCCTCAGCCACCAAATTTGCATCCACAATTTATTTCACCCTTGGGGCCAAGAATGTCTTCTTGCAAGATGAAAAGGGAGTGTTTGGAAATCCGGAGAGAAGTTTATGGCTTCATGTTGTGGCTGTCAATGCCGCAGACTGTATCGGGACCACACACAGCATCGAGAACACACACAGCATCGAGAACACCAGGCGTCCTAAAGGAGCCACTTCTGATGAGCTGAGGGCTTTCGGGGAGCCAGGAAGCACGGGAGCTTGCTTCCAATTTGATTTTGTGCACAGGCTGAGGGAGAATCAGCCAGGTACAGAGGAAAGGAAAGATGCGGATGGGGTTCAGGCTCCCCCTTTTCCTTTCTATCTGTGCTCCATCCCCTGGCCCCCCAAGCCTAGGCTATGCCAGAAACTGAGTTTGCTTGTGGATCTCCACTGAGTTTTTCCAAAAGCAAACTACAAGCGAGCATCTCTGGCTGTATATGCAGCCCAATTCCTTTCGGCCTCCACGCCAACCCTAAGCTGCCCATTGCCGCCTGACCTGTAGGTCCCCAGACAGGTGACCCGGGGTGTGTGACTCACAGATGGCCATCACCACAACAAGCACATTTGCAGGAGAGGTTGGTGGTGGGGAGGTTAGAGAGGGTTTGGAATCCTTGGTTAGGAGGAGGGTGGAGTGTTTTGCAACTTCGGAACTTACAGGAAAATAAGAAGTATGTTGGGAATGCAAAAGATTCTATCAAAAAGGTAGTAATGAGATGCACTGAATCCCGGCTCCAGATATCAAAAGGTCCCCCCGGGGTTCTGCCGAACAGCCCCCACTTGCCACAGGCCACGGGAACCCAGAGCTTTGCAGTGCCTGTGCATGTGGTCACTGCACCCAGTTAGAGCCCTGTCTCTGGGCCCAGATGCTGCTTCTGCTTTGGAGCTCTGTGGCCAGGAATCCCCTCGCCAGCAAAGCCTGAATCCTCAAGTGCTTCTCCGAGATGCGGGGTGTGAACTGAAGCTGCTCTGCTCTCCTTCCTCCTTCTCCCCTCGCCTCCTCCCTCCTGCTCCTCCCACCCTGCTCCTCCTGCTGTTCTTCCTCCTCCTGTTCCTCCTGCTCCTTCTCCTCCTCCTCTCCTTCAGGGCCTGGAGGTGGAGCAGATCCTCCTGACTCTGCCCTGCATCTGGGTCTCCAAGGCCCCTTCTCCTCTTTACCCTGTCTCTCACTATTTCTGGCAAATGCTACATTCCTGTAGATGGGCAGTGGATTGCTCCAGATCCTCCACTTCTCAGCTCCTGGCCTCCGTCACACACAGGACACCACTAGTGTGTCCCTCCCTGAAATTTCAGTTATAAACATTCCCCCCTCTGGCCATCACTCTGTGTCCCTCTCCCCCCACCCAGACTATCTGTACTGCTTCGCTTATTCTTCTTATCGCCTTGTTCCCAGGGCCTCACTCCTCTCTCCTCTGTAATGAAGCTGAAATCCCACACGGTGACTTTCTCAGCAGTGCTCTTCCTGCCTTGGACCCTCCCTGCCCTGACTCACCTGGCAAATCGGTCACTGTCACTACACACAATAGTAATGGGATAGTAGACAATGTCCTTCAGGATTTAATTGGGTTAAATTCAACCAAATATTAGTGCATAATGAAATGAAAACTACTGAACACATCCAGAAGCAAGTCACAAGGAACATGAGTTGGCTGAGACAAGCTAAGATCCTTAAGACCTGGGGAGAGGTAAGGGGTGAGGGTTTCTTCACCAGAACACAAAGTGCATTGAAGTATTGGTTTTCATCAGAACATGGACAGGTCGCTGAGTGAAACTCAAAAGTCCTCCTGCGGGGCTCCCATCTTGCGTGGGCTCTGGTCTCAGACTTCATTGCCCACCCCTACCTGGCTACTGGGTCTTCACTCCCAGGCGTCCTGCTCAGACAGCAACCTCTTCCCTGCCCAGAAATACATGCCCCCAGCTCCCTACACGTTCCGCCGTGCCTGCCCGTTTCTGTTTGTTTTGCCTCTAGAGCATCACTTCTAAGAAAACCCCTAAAGAAGGTAGATCCCAGGAGGGCAGGTGTCGATCTGTTTTTCACAGTGGCTGCACACTCACGGCTCCTGCAACTGGGACGTCCCCTCTGCCACACTGCTCTCTCCTGTCTCCACGAACCCAACATCCGGGACCGCCCCCCTGCCTTGCCCTAGCTGCTGCAGGCCCATCAGAGCAGGCAGCAGCCTGTAGCTCATGAGTACCATGCCCCTCAAGTTTCATGTGCTCAGCCCCACATGCAAGCCCAGCACCCCTCATGCACCTATGGGCCCCATACATGGGCACGAGCTGACTGTGGGCGCTCCCTCATTGCCAAGACAGGTGGCCAAGTGCCTGAGAACCTACAGGTGTCCCAAGGGTTCAGCCAGAGGAGCCAGAGCTCAAGGTAAGGAGAGTGGGAGGGAAGGGGACTGGAGGTCCTGGAACGACCGAGTGTCCCCACTTCCTGGGGAAGATGCTTGCTCAGAGAGGAGCAGCAAGTTGCCCAAGGCCATGGGTGCAGGAAGGGCTTTGTTCTCCTTGAACAATTTTCTCACTGCCTAGGGTGGCTGCCTGGAAAACACCACATCTACAGTGTTTAACAGCTCCTTTCCTAAGCGGCTGCATAGAAGAGTTTTCGTGCAACACTATGGACTGATCCGAATGGCCTTGGAAGGACAGGCGGCACCGTGAGGGGACTGGGTTCCATCAGCCCGTTATGGCCCACTTTCCGCAGAACCATGAAGATCCCCAGTCCCCACCACCTGCCTTTCAGACTCCCTGCTTTTCTGACAGATCAACCGAACCAAAAAGGCTCAAAAGACATGGTCCATCCCCCACTACGGGGCTCCATAAGTCAAGGAAGATGGCCCCTCAGAAGCACCATTCCTGTTGTGTGTGCGTGTGTGTTTGTGTGTGTGTGTGTGTGTGTGTGTGTGCACGTGAGAGGGAGAGGGAGAGAGAGTTTTTACAATGTAGGTAAAAGAAGTCATGTAATCTGTAGCAAATGTCGTTTAACACGGTTGGAACTGTCAGTGTCCTCAGTGAACTGTTGAGTTCCCAGGATGAGGGACCTTAGGCGTATCACAAGGACAAATTCATTCTGTGTCATATTTTAACAGACACAGTGCCTTCCACCAAGAAGGCTGCTGTGGTCATAATTAGACGCTCCCGGAGAGCACCAGGCGCTCACGGCCGGGCTTTTGGAAAGTGCCCGGATTACGGGGTCTTGGCTGACTTGCTCCTAGAGGCGGGGCCTGGGTGAGGCGGTTCACTGGGGGCGTGGCCTGGGAGGGTTTGGCTTCCTCCCCAGTTCCTCCCTTCACTGCCTCTTGCCTGCCTTGCTCTGAGCAGCTCTCTTCTGCTGTGCCCTCTTACCTTGGAGATAGCCAGTTATGGACTAAAACACGAGCCAAAATAAATCTGTCCTCCTTTAACTTGTGAGTACTGGGTATTTTGTCCCAGTACTCAGTGAGGGAAGTGATTATAAGACAAAAGTTATTGGCACAGTAACTCACACAGGAAAAAAACCTATGGGTCTCTGGGGCTTTTGCTGTTTGCCAGCCCATATCCTGACGCAACCTTCTCCAACAAGGCATGATTTCTGTTCATCACCCCCCCTAGTTCTAACCACGGGGCACTTTTGCCAGGGTTTGATCCTGTAGGTGATGTGGACTGTATTTGACAGGTATAAACTTATTTTTAGGAAAGGTAATTTAAAAATAAGTGCTTAATTTTGTTGGGAAGGGCTTGATTGCTGAGGATGATGAAGTTTCTTTAGTAGAAAATGAAAATCAGATCCTCTGTTATGAATGCTAGCCAGGTGTGTCAGCACATCATTAATTTATATCAATAATTAGAGTGAAAATTTAGTCAATTAGATGAAATGAAAAATTGTTATTAGTAAAACTTTTATCGGTAAAACTTTTATCAGTTGGCACCATGGAATAAAAAATGTGACTACATTCATTTTAGAGGCTCATTTTCATCTATATTGTTTGCAAAGGCAGAGCTTGCTTACCTTTGATGCTCTGTGGAGAGAAGTGTTTAGAAGTAGCACTTCATTTTACTTAGCAACAATGGTCATCACAAAATGCTTAACTTTGGGAAAGTGAAGCCTGATGTTCACATTGTCAGAGTGTGATGGTTTACATCTGGGAGCCTCGTGTTCTCAGGGGTGGAGCTTGTGGACGGTAATTGGATTATAGGGGTGCTACAGCTTGTTTGGTGTTGGAAGGTGGGGTATGGTTGGAACTGGTGGGTCACCAAAGCCATGGCCTGGAAGACCATATCTCCCTCCCTGGTCCTTTCTCCATTCCCTGCTTCCTGGCTGCCATGAGGTCAGCAGCTCTCCTCTCCCCAGGCCCTTCTGCTATTTCTTCTTGCCTTGGAGCCAGCTATGGACTGAAAACTTGAGCCAAAATGAACCTCTTCCTTTAAGTGTGGGTGTCAGGTACTGTGTCCCTGTGACAAGAAGGTGACTAAGACACGGGGTCTTTAAGAGTGCATTCTTGGCCGGGGATTTAGCTGAGTGGTTTTGCTGCCTGCTGTGCAAGTGCAAGGACCTGAGTTCGATCCCCAGTACCAAAAAAAAAAAAAAAAAAAAAGAGTGCATTCGTCCCAGGAGTGAGTTCTGAAACTCTGCAGGTGAAAGGGACATGTTTTCACCTGGATCTGTAGGAAGAACCCTAGGCTGGGCCAGCTCAGAACCCAGAAGAAGGAAGAGATGCTGCCTTGTATTTTAAGATCTCCTTTTGTCTGAATTATTCTCTGGGAATGGGTGTTGATCTCCTGGAGAACAGGAGCAGCTGGTAGCAGAGGATTTCCTGGAACAAAGGGACCAGGTGCACTGTTGGCTGCTCAGCACTGAGGTGTATGTGTGTGGGGCCTGGGGCATGTGGGCATCCCACAGTGGGACCCTGCCTGTTCATGGGTATTTGCTGTGCCAGGCATTGCTATGCATGTGACACTGGGTGAGGAGCAAAGCAACCCAGTGTGACCATGGCTGGACATCGGTAAGGACAGGCCCCTCCCAAGGTGCTTCCTCTCATAGCAGGGGCTGCAGGGCAAACCTCTGGGATGCCATCTGGCTTGGGAGGTGGTGCAGGGCCAAGGAGTGCAGGGCAGCATGTCACCAGAGCCTTTGAGCTCCAATGAGCCCCACTTAGTCCCTGGGAAAGTAGACAGCGGGGAAGCCCCTCTGGGGGTTCTGTGATGGGCAGAGGATCCCAGAGAGTGATGGGCTGTGTCCAGAGTTCAAGGGGCTCCCTGGGGTGATCAGGTCCCCAGCATGCAGAGCAGCAGCCCTGGAGCTGCAAGAGTAGAAGACAGGAAGCACCAGGAACACAAGGGTCTGTGTTCCCTGCTGGGCTGTGGGGGACCCTGGCCACCCTCTGTGGCTCACACAGGCCCTGGTGATGGGGAAGGAGAGGAGGTGGGAGCTGGGGTTGAGTTGAGTTTGGTTTTCAAAGTCAAAGGGACATTTTTTGCACTCTGATTGAAATGATGTGATTCACAGCTGTCACCTAACAGAAGGCTCCTGAGAATCCTCTGTAAGATTGGAAAATGAAACAAAGCCAGGCATAGTGGTGCACACTCCTAATTCCAGCACCTGAGGCAGGAGGAGAGTGAGTTAGAGGCCAGCATGGACTACCTAAGTGAGAACCTATCTTAAAACAAAGGTAAATAAAACCTCGAGTATTTTTTAAAATAGAGAGCATGCCCTGTGCTTTTGGGAGTGTGGGTCTGGGTGGCCCTGATGCTGCCCAGAAAAGAAACCAGGCTAGTGCGTGTCTTACTTGCTTGTCCGTCAGGATTTGCACATGGCGGGTGCAGATGGCCCTCAACTCGTCTTTGGAGGCCGTGTTGGTTTTGTTAGTGTCAAAGTTCTCGAAGTCCTGGGCGATGGCATGGTAGTGGGAGGTCACGGCCTTGTGGAGGCGCACCAGCTGGTCTCTGTTGGCCACTTCTCTGGGAGACGCAGTGGGCAGGACTCTGGGCATGTTCCCAGCCCACTCGTCAGCAGTCTTCATGGAACAGAATGGGAATGGATGCATTGAGTAAGGGGTAAATACCTCCTGGCACTTCCCAGGGAGGCCCAGGGGCCAGAAGCTAGACACAAAAGCATCACAGATTGAGGGCCTGAAACATCTTCCCCCACAGGGCAAACTCGGGTGTGGGGAAGCCCAGGTGGTACCAGGAGGTGGGCTTCATGATGCTGAGCCTTGGGCCTGTCCTGTCCTTTGGTTCATTTAACAAACACACAGTGTGTGCCTGCTATGCACAGCCAGGGAGTGTACAGGGCTGTGGATTTAGACCACTTTCATTTCAGGATGTGAGTTTCATAGATTTGCTCACAGTGACTGATTTTGAAAGATGCTTTTGGGCTAGGGGTTTAGCTCAGTGGCACTGTGCCTGCCTTGCAAGTGCCAGGTCCTGAGTTCAATCCCTGGTGCCGGAAAAAACCAAACAAAGAAAGATGGTTTTGATGATTGGCATGATGTTGTGCTGCAGCCCCTATTGTTGGCTAAATGCCCCTGAGGCCTGAAATGGTGAGCTCCACAGGGATTTATTCCGGTGAGTGCACCGGGTCAGGGCTCTGCCCTCTCCTGGGCCAGAGGAAGCTGGGTTGGTGGAGATGCTATCCATGGTACTGAGGGGCCGGAGGAAGGACAAGTATGTTGGCCAGGGCTGCAGGCTTGCTGGTGAGAGGAATTGGCCTGCAGGAAAGAGGGGTGGCAGAGGGATCCTTTGTGTGGCCAAGTGAGCTGAGAGGGTCTGAGGAGGACTGCACCCCAGTTCTGTGTCTGTGCTGATCACTGTGCTGGGCAGACAGGGCAGGGAGAACAAGCAAAGGTGAATAGCTCAGTGAGCATCAGCAAAGGGACCAAGAAAATGGCAAGGGCCTCCAGGTGTATGCTGGGGCCAATCAGCAAGCAGTGCCCGGGAGACTGCACTCAATCTGAAGTCAGGCTTGGGAGACTGAAGCTGGTAGGGCAGCTGAGAGCTCAGCCTCATGTGCAGGGAGGCAGCCCTGATGTGCACACACTTGCTAGTTAGGAAAAGGCTCCCAGAGCCAGGCTTGCATTTGCTATAGCAACAGGCTGACTCCTGACCTGCAAGGAATGTGTGCAGTGCTGGGGTCGACGGGGAGGTCTGGCTGTGTGACAGTCCAGGGATGACAATGGATGAAAGCTTTCTCTGCACCCAGGCATATTCTGAGATGCACTCAGTTTCCTTGACTGGCTGTTAGCTTTGACAACGATGCCCTGGGCCAGCACTGTCCTGGGGACGTTAGCCGATTACCACATGGAAACCCCTCAACTAGTATTTACACTTGGCTGTTTTGTCTCAAGCAATTCCAATACAGCAACTCTGTATTATACATTACTATGCCTTAGGACAGGGGCCTCTGCATAATGTGAAAAGTGTTTCATACTTGATGAGAAGGCATCAAACACAGGAGGCCGCTGGGAAGATCCTCAGAATCCAGAACACACTTGCTTCCACTCAAACCAAAGCCCTTGACCACTTACAGGTTTGCAGAAGCTTTTAAATATGTCCACGTGGAGCCATTTGGAAAGTAAGTGAATGTTTTTCTTCTCTCATTTTAGAAAAATAAGAGCAATGCTACTGATGCATTTTACAAGTTTTTAGAATTCAAAGTTGAAGGGGCACTTCCTAAGGGTAAGCAGCACCCAGAGAGCAGAGGGTCAGAAAGCCCGGGCCCCAGGTGAACGGTGTTGGGAAGAACACAGGTGGACGGATAGCATGAGGAGACAGAGCCCCGGGTCTAGACTCCACCTCTGCCATAGAATCCACCTCGACCACCTCTGGCCCTGCCATAAGTTGCTGACCCAGGATTTGCCTCAGTTTACTCCTCTGTCCAGGAGCAGTGAGGGCTCACCTGAATGAAATGTGTGAATGACCTTACAGCCCAAAGCAAACTGGGAGCACTATTATCCTAACAGCAGATACTGGAGAATTCCAACAAAGTATTATCTACAACCTTGGCTTAATGTGCTTTAAACTCCAGAGGAAATGGAACAGATTTTTAGGAAAATATAGAGTACTAAATTTAACTGAAGTACTAGAAAAGCCTGTATAGACAAGTAACCACAAAAGACATGGAAAAGCTGTTAAAAGATCTAACATCTGTCATAAAAAGGTGTCAGGCCTAGATGATTTTTAAAGGAAAGCTGCATCAAATCTTCAGGGAATAGATGATTTTTACATTAAGTCAAATTATCTCAGCACTCTGAAAGAGATACGTAGGGTTGTAATCATTGTACAATTACCACAATAGCAAAATATGATAAAGAAAATATAAACCAATCTAGTTTATGGCTGTTAATGGAAAATTCTAAAATAAAATATTAAGAATCTTCAGCACTATATTTAAAAATGGTTCACTAGGACCAACTAGGTTTTATTCCAAGGGATCAGAGGCAAGTTAAAAATATAAGAATTTAGAAGTTATATTGTTGGTGGGAGTGTAAACTGATACAACCACTATGGAAATCAGCATGGAGATTCCTTAAAAAAACTGAAAACAGAAATTACATTTGACCCAGCTATTCCTCTTTGGGGTATCTTCCTCAAAGAGTTAAAAACCTACCACAGTGACATACGTGTATCCATGTTTATAGCAGCACAATTAACAATAGCTTAATTTTGGAATCAGCCTTATGTCCATTAACAGATGAGTGGATAAAGAAAATGTGGTATTTATATACAATGGAGTACTACTCTGCCATTAATAAAGATAAACGTGAGGTATTTGTAGGAAAATGGATGCACGTTGAGTTAAGTGAAGCAAATCAGACACACAAGCTTGTACGTCGTATCGTTTCCCTTATATGAAAAATTTAATAGGAAAGAGGAGAGAAAAGAGAAGGAAAGAAAGTACCTATATTCTTTTTTTTTGTACCAGGGATTGAACTCAGGACCTTGTGCTTGTGAGGCAGGTGGTGGCACCACTGAGCTACATCCCCAGCCCCCACATACTATATTCTAGGTATGTTTCGGTTGCCCGTCTCTGGTTTCGCTCTAATATGATGTGAGGGCTCACTGTGCAGGATTTATACTTCCTTGGATAGGTGAAGGTCTTTATTGATTTTGTGAGCATGAAAGAAAAAAAAGTAAATTCTCAGAATAAGAAAATCTAGGAAGACAGAGTAGCTCAGTGGTTACCTAGATTTAGGGGGAAGGATGGAGAGATGGCTGGCAGGTGGAGGGTTTTCATCTGGGATGGCAAACATGGCCTAGGTTTGATTGTGGCTGTGGGTGCACAACTCTGTCAATGTGCTGGGGTCTATGGAATCGACATTTTAAGTTTGTAAATTGTGTGGTATGCAGATTTTTTGTTTAACAAAGTATTTTATTAAAAAATTGTAAACTAACAAGTGTATATATATATATATATATATATTTAAAAAGTTAGAAGTTGAATTGTGAAAAAAATAGACAATCACATTATTGACAAAACTACTGAGTGTCTTGGGATGAAATCCACATGAAAGATACAGGGCCTATGGGAAGAAATCTCTACATAGCTGTTACAGTTATTAGACAAGATTGGGATAAATGGAAGGCAATGTGCTGCTCCTGGATTTAAAGCCTCCATTTCAAAGGACAGAACCTTTCTCAAGTTGTAATAAACTTAAAATTCTAATAAAGATCTCAGGAGACCCTTGCGGGGATCATTAGACATATTGGTAGGAATGTTGGCCTTGAAAAATAGGTGAAAGTTGATGTGAAGTTTTGAGAAAAGGAAAACAACAAAGTTTTCAACCGGCAAGATCGAAACTCTATTGGATCAGAGTGGCAGAGCTAGGATAAGATGTGTGTCGGCGAGCAGTGATTCCGGTGTTAGTGAGAAGCAAGTCCCTGCGTGACCAAGCCGTGACGCCGGGAGGCCCAGGTGTGGAGGCCCAGGTGTTTCAGCATCATCAAGCATCACAGAAAGTCAGGGCAGCCTTAGAGGCAACGCTGGGTCAGGGGAGCTTCCTAAGCAGCACAGAGCATCCTGGTTTCACTGAGGAAAGTTCTTCCTTCCCTCCTGACCATCAGCTTTCAAACATGGCCCGCTGTGGTCTCCATCTCAGCACACAGAAACTGTCTTGTCTTTCCAGATGCAGAGGCCTGGTCAGCTTCCTGTCGCCACCCATGAACCACCCTGGGTTCTGTGCTCAGTCCTAACCCAGTGACCACGCCACCTCACCTCCTGGCTGGGGCCACCTTCGCCTCTTGCACGGAACCCTGCAACACCCCCTGACTCTGCCCTCGGTCATCTTTCTCTGTGGACAATCTTGTCTAAAAGTGCAAATCAGATGGAGGCAAAACCCTCAAGTGGCCTCATGTTGCTCAGAGCAACAGGCCACACCTCACAGTAGCCCCCTCCTGCTCTCTGACCACTGCCCTGTGACTCTTCCTTGCTTGCCGTGCTCAGCGTCACAGGCCTCCTTCCTTTCCTGTAAACACGGCAGGCAGGCACAGTTGTGCCCCATGGCCTTTGCACTTGCTGTGCTTGTCCCTACCTCAGGGTGTTTCTAGGATTTCTGAGCCCAGTTCGATACCTCCTACCTCCTCTCCCTGCTGGTTTTCCATTTCCTTCTTGTCTTTCTCATCCTAAATAAACTTCACGGAGGTAAAGGCTCTACTGTGTTGCCTGCTGAATCCCTAAGGGCTTGGAACAGAACCTGGTGTACAGAGGGACTGATAATTGTGCAAAGAAAGAATGAATAACCAACACCCACACAACAGAGAAGGCACACACAGTAAGGGGAGGTGGCATGTCTCTGTCCTCTGCTGTGGGCAGTGGCCCAGGCTCTTGTGTTGGCCGGGAGGCAAAGAAATAAAAACTACAAGATTCTGCTTTAGCAAATGGCCAATTTGAACAATATCCATATTAACAAGGTTTCTGGTGCCATAAAAAGTTCCTAAGCTTCAACTTAGTGCCTGTCCTCTTTTAGGATTTTCCTTAAGGAAATATAGTAAGAAGGCATGGAATTGTGATCATTACAGG